TTGGAAGCTTTCGACCGTCTAGTCCTTAGTTGCACATGGCATCTGGTGAGCATCTCAACAAGTAAGTATGCAGCGCGGGTTGAAACCCTCATTGATGCTGCCCAACATACGGCCTGCAAACCAAACACTGCGACTCAAGTTCAACCGATGGATGAGGCTAGTAGGGCAGCATCAGAAGGCTTGCCGCTTGCCATCATCTCTTATCACACTAGAAAGGCATGATACATTACAGCCTGAAACGACAAAGCAACCTGAGATTAGACAGACAGGTATGTGCTTTTCATCCTCTGCGTTGGCACTGCAACATGGTGTTTGCTTCAGCAGAATGCCTTGCAACTCTTGGACACACCAGCAACAATAAAGTAGAAAAGACAGCAGGGACACACGTGCTGAGACATGTGTCACTGATACCGTTCAACATGATGACTCGATATGCCCAAAGGCAACGGATGCAAAAGATATTCTGTACACAAGTCTAAAGGAAGGTTTGTCAGTTTGCCAACCCGCTAGAGGCAACAGAAAGAGCGTGACAACGCACAAAAGCCTGGAGCCTTAAAGTTGCAAAGAAATCCCTGGTTGGTCTGTAGACTACTACCGACAATGGTCACACTTCCGGCTACCTGTTTTGGCTGCAGCTACCAACGTAGCCCAGGACAAAAGCCTCTTGCCTTGTTCGTTGCAAAATGAAACTGTAAACTGAGTTGGCCCCTACATCTTATGAATGTTTCGTTTGCCCTGCCAGGGACTTTGATTGGTGTCGGCCACCACGGATGTTTCTTAGGCACATTGAGTACTAAAGACCTTAATTAACGGCACTGCTCGTGTGCAAACACCAGAATGCTGAGCCAGCAGTGAGCAATGTTTTCTTTGCCGTTTTTCTATAGCGATTGGCACCAAAGTCAGATTGGCACCCGGTGGCCATGAAACCCAAGTCAGATTGGCACCAAACGCTTTCCTCGTGTGCATGAAGATAATTTGAACCCCTTCTCAGAAACGCACACATTTATCTGCAATGTCAATCTTTTGCATGTCCACGGAACTTTCTGTCAAACGAAACATCTTGGATCCGGCTGCTCGATCCACCAATTTTGAGTGTGACACTGTCTTCAGCTATTTCGCACTTTCCATAAGAGACATGCATTTTCCTGGTCTCACTCCCAAATCGCACACCTCGTGGTCTGAGAGACACATCGAGTTTCACGTCAAACGGGCGTCTAACACCTCACTTCGGTGGAAGACCATCCTTTGCGACGTATTTCGGCCAAAGTCCCTTGCGACCGCACCGAGCTCGAGAAGTGCATCTCCGAGCTCGCGCAGTATGCTGCATCGTGGGGGAAAGCGGATGAGAAGTGCGCAGGGGAAGCAAATGACAGGTCCACAGATCGGGAGCGTATGAGGAGACTTCGTCTACAACTTGACAAACTGGAATTCAATCTCGGCGGAATCGCTTCTGGCAGGATTTGCGGCTGGGGTGTCTCCCGGAAGAAAAATATTGAATGTTCATGGATTACGGTTACATTCTCTCAAGAAAGGCTTGAACTTGCTGGGCGAGGCGATTTATTCAATTTGCAATCGTATCTGCAAATCATGATGCCAACACAAGCTTTCAGGAGCACATCTTCACATGACATGTCCGGCCGGATGTGGGCAAAAATGAGTGCTTCTGACAGCTTCGATAGATTCCGATGTCACAACACCTGGCGTAAACTTCCAAAGCTTACGCCGTCTCACGTAAAGGCAAGGCGAAAAAGCGGCTGCTTCGTTTTCGTATTTCGTTTTCGTCGCTTGCAAACGATGGTCGATGGCCAGAAAGGACCGTCTCAACGAAGTGGTGCCGCTCTCGACTCCAGCGCTATCGTTGAGCAAGGCCGAAAAGCCGGTGCTGGGGTTTGTTCGAGTGGCTCAAGTGCTGGCCGACACTGTGCTCCACGCTCTCAAGGGATGTCCATGATGTCCATGATGCCCTCAGTAGCGAAGTGGAGGAGTAACAATCGCAGAAACCAACTTGTTTGGCCAAGGAACTTCAATTTCATGCCAGTCATGAACGGCACTAGAATCCTTAGTCAAAGTCATCGCGAAAAACGGATTTGAAAAATGCAACTATGGCTGGTGCAAAGATTCTAACAGTCTAACAAATCAAGGAGCTGTATTCATGCCTGCAAGCGTTTGCCTTGGCTGGTCACGCAAAAATGCCTCTGAGCTCATGTCGTGAGCGAAAACAAACCAAATCAACACCAAGGATACACTTTTGAAGGAACACTTCTTTCCAGTGCAGCATGGATACGCCACAATATGCCACAATAGGCAGGCAGCCAAGGGATCGCACACGAACATCTCGGGTGAAGGAAATGCAAGCTGCGGTGTGTGTCCAGTGAACAGGTTTTGAAGGAGGTTTCACACCCAACATGTCGTTGTGCTGGGGGATCTCTTATCAACAAACTGATAACTCCCACCTGTCAAAGCATTTTCTGCCTTCTAACAAGCTGAATCTTGCTTTCATCTGCCACAAACAGCCTCCTTAGCCAAAGCAGGTTGCATCGAGCTTGCTCTCGGGTCAAAATGGTCAAAAGACACTGTTTTCCCCACTTGGTTCCTAAACTTGTTCCAAAACCGTGCTACAACGGATGTCAGCCTCTCATTGAACTGTCTTTTATCAGTTTTTCATCTACTCTTCCTCACTTCTCAGGGTCCAAACAAAAGGTCACCTTATTTGAGATCGCCCACACTACAGTCACCAGGCCTGGCCCCCAAACTCCACTACAGTTGCCGAATCCCTCTTTTCTTGCTAACCGATGGGATTCAGCACACGACAAAGCTCTTGTCGCTCATCTTGCCTGCGACAGCGGCACAAATGAACCCCGCTTCCTTCGCGGATTCTGGACTCTGTACTTGTTCTTGGACAACATCTAGAATCTAAGGGATTCTAAGGGAACATTGGTATAACTTTGTCCTTCTTTGTTTTGGTGATGCCCCCTTCTTTGCGATTCGAAGGCTGCGCTGTACTTGTTTGGTCCCGACGCTGAGGTTGAAGAAACATCGGTTATGGGCCAGCTCGACCTTCTTATTATTCAAGGAGACACATTTTTTCTAAATAACAAAGAGGAAAGGCAAAGAACCCAAACCAACCAGGAACACTGGTCCAGGATCAGCAGGAGAAACATTGAGAAACTGATAGAAACTGTATTCCTACAACAAACCATCAACAGAGGCCCTTCAAGCCGTTCTTTGATGAAACCATCAAGCCATTGTGCAATTTGATCACAAACTCAACACTTGCTTGTTCCTAGGGTCCAGGTCAATGCCTCCAACGCAACAAGATGAAAACAAGTATCATCTTTAAGAGTGAACACACACTGAATCTGCCATTGCATTCACCGACTACAGCCACAACGGCCAAAACATGCCACTGAACCTAGAAGTGATGGCCTCCAACCTAAAGAGCGATGGCCTCCAACCTAGAAGCGATGGCCTCCAACCAAGAAGCTATGGCCCCCAACCTAGAAGCGATGGCCCCCAACGTAGAAACGATGGCCTCTAGAAGCGATGGCCTCCAACCTAGAAGCGATGGCCTCCAACCTAGAAGGGATGACTTCCAACCTAAAAACGATGGCCTCCAACCTATAAGTGATTGCCTCCAACCTAAAAGCGATGGCCTCCAACCTAGAAGCGATGGCCTCCAAGCTAATAGC